CTCTGATAGATGCCTGTCATTACAAAGAGCAGTACCAGTAGGGTCATTGAGAGTACTATAAGACTCAGAATGCTGTAGACAAAATAGTCTGGATGCACATTGCCAATTAGAACCACAATCACAGAGGGAAGTAAAATATCGCCGATGTATGCACCTCCAATTAAAACGGCGGTTGCTTTTCCATTGACTGGTAGGTGTTCACTCATCCAGGTCATTGCATTGGGGGAGACGGAGGAAAAACTGCCACCGAGGAGAGCAGACGTTACCCAAACTGCTATACGGTTGTGAGGAAAGATGGCGAGAATGAGGATTGCTGTCACACTCCCCGAGACATTGAGTGTCATCATTACCGATGCCCTAACTTTCAACATGACTAGGGGGATTGAAAACACTCTCATGAACAGGAAAAGTCCCCAAAACACGGCTGTAACTGTAGCTGCAGTCTGTTTGTCCAATTGAAGCTGGCTCTTGACACTGAACGTGAACAAGAGACTCCCGTACGAGATCTCTGATCCAACATAGCACAACATGAACCAGAAGAGAAGGAAAAATGCCGGATACTTGTATGTCTTGAGAGTGACTGGTGCCCTTGAAGGAGTACTGTCTTCCAACGCAACAGTAACTTCGCTATCTTCAAGCAGTTCCACTTTGTCATCAGCTACTTCATTTAGCTCGACCTGACTGGTGTCTTCATTTTCCGTGGCCGTATTAGTTTGACTGCCTCCTGTACTTTCATTCTTTCTCATCTTGAAGCAGTGAGTCATGTCATATCTGATGGAGTAGTAGGTAAAAACCAGGAGAGGAACAACAAAGAACATGGCTGATATCCAGTAGGCCCACCCATACCTCAAGGTAATATTATCACGCTCCTCAATTAGTGAGCAATTTGTTTGGTTGCTGAGGGTATCATAGTAGACGTCAATTACTGCTGAAGATGTCCCATTGCAAACCTCAGTTATAGAGTCAAGGCAGGCACATTCAACATATGAGATGTTCTCACAATTTGAGGTCCATACATTACTGCAGGATATGTTGAACACTTGTGAAGTATTGAAGTCTTCCTGAGTGTCAGGGATGTCAGTAATGAATGGCTTGGCTATGAGTGGAGCTAGGAATGTTCCCACGGCATACGCAGCATGAAGAAACTGCATGCACGGACCAGACTTTTCACCCCACAGTCTCATTAGAATAGCATGAGCCCCTATAATCAAATCAGTGTGATTATAAAAACTACCGAATTAATCCCAGTAGGGCTTACCGTTATCCAAGCCTCCTAGGGTCATTCCCATGAAAAACATGATGACTGTTAGCATTGCAACATGCACTGCGACAGGAACCAAGATATTTGCTGTAGGGACAAACACATTATGACACACTATATCGCATACTCTGATAGGATAATGGGGCACTATTATTGGCAATATAGGAAGATTATGTGCAAAGGGATGTGTATGTCAAAGACTGTAATGCATGGTATATACAAGAAATAAGAGGCCATTTTCATTGCAAGAGATATGCGACTGTACTGTTATATTCACAACTATAACAGAAAAAAAACAGACGTGTAGCTAGCTATACATGTATAGTTCTGCACCTGCAATTCCACCAAAAAGGAAGCAGCAGAGTAGAGTGTACTGAAGCCTTGGGAACCTGTCCATGAGGACACCAGAGGCCACAGTACCTATCACTCCTCCAATGGCTCTAGTCAGAAGCACCACAGACAGTAGCCCCACTCCCACATCCAGCTGGTGAGCTATGTCCAACAGTGTTGGAGCTTATAGTACTCTCAATGACCCTACTGGTACTGCTCTTTGTAATGACAGGCATCTATCAGAGGAGACACAAACCGCCAGTGAAGAGTGTAGGCTACCACAGACTTACAATGGATGGTAGCGAGCCTCTTGAGAATGGTGGAGTGTGAGTTCAGCTGTTTGTGAAACTGGACCAGATGAAGAGAAAGAGGAGGCTGTAGTCTAGCTTTATACTTTTTGATCCGGTTACCGTCATCCATGTTTCAGTGCATACATGTGTTCTAATGAATGATGCAAGTGTGCCCATGTGCTCTGCTTCTGAAAGTAGATAGGGATAATTGAAGGGGTCAGAGCCAGAGTGAGCCAACCCTCAATATACAACTCTTGCCGGTTTTTGTTCTATTAGAACATAAAACTGGCGAGAGTTGTATATTGAGGGTTGGCCCACTCTGACTCTGACCCCTTCAATTATTGTGAACATTCGTGCATGGTTTCACAATCGTATCAGAAAAATAATTGATGACATGCAACATAATAACTTATTCAAGACTGCTATGGTAGCTTTTACTACAGTTCTCTTTTGGATCTCTGAACTCTTCACTGGTGCTTATGTCTC